AGCCTCAATAACAGCCCGGAGTTGGGCAGTTGGCGGTGTTTCACCCCCGTGCCTCGGAGAGCACGTAAAGCCGTCGGTCCTGCGCCTTAACTCTCACTGGTCGTGTCGAGTGGTCGTCCCACCAGAGTATGAGAGTGACAGGAATAGAGAGTGCACTTGTGTCTGCGCGTACACTTGTGCACTATAATATCTCCTGCGCAGTTGGCTAGTCTCAGTGAGATTGGCCGTCGTGGCCGGAATCGGTCAGGAGAACATCATCATATGTGCTTTTTAGTTCTCTTTTTATTTTATACTTCTTTTATTAGCTATTTAACCTTCGCGGGCGAAGAGCACTTGATTTATACGCTTAGGTTTTTATTTGAATTTAATACCGGTTTTCATCTTAAACATAAAATTAACCTTAAAATGAATAAAATACGGCATATTACATACATTACGTTTTAACGTTTAATATTATACATAGATTTCTCAGAGATGAGATATTTTCACGCAGTAAAAAGTATCCTATACGAGTATGTTGACCCCAAATAACCAGCTACCATCATACCAAATTTCATCAAAATCCCTGTATTGGTTTTCCGTTCTGTCACAGACAGACATAAAAATTCTTAATAAAAAAGTATTTATTTATTTATTTTTAATAAGTAATATAGATTTTAATTATATATAAGAATGTAAAAAATTAACCACAAATAATTATAACTTTAATCTTAAAGAAAAAAAGACCTTTGGAATATTGTTATTTATTCTAATTTGTCGGAAAACCCTTTGAGATATAAAATTTAAAAATTATTTGTGGATGCTTAAGTTGTGAAAGCCTTTCAATCAAATTTCAAGGGTAATAGACACAGTAAGTAAGGTAGCTAAGGTTGCTTACGTAGGAGGCTATAATTACAAAGTTTTGATCAGTGTTGCGTGTAACAAGAATACTATATAATATAAAATATAATATATATTAAGCGAAAATTACTCTAGAAGATGGTTGCAAGCTGACTGCAGACTACAGAAGACATGATAATTATTCTACCTCTTTCATATTGCTTAGTATTGTCAGCCTAGTAGCGATTTCTTAGAAAAAAGTATTATATTTTAAAGATAAATAATAGTACTTCTCTTAAAATAATTATTAAATCATTTATTTGTAGTATTTTTTTTATATACTTAGCACTTTAATATTTAAATACTAAATATCATGCATATCACATAATTAATTTAGCCTTCCTTATATAACTGTAAATAAATTTTATTACTATTAATATGACTATTTTCTGTGAATTACAGTTACTAAGCTTATTTATTATTGGCCTTTGTCTCGAAAAGGTAGGTAACGCATCTTACATGGGAGGCTAAATACAAACTAACATTTACGTTTAACTTTATATTTCATACGTACATATATTTTTTAGTAACAAGCGATAAATATTATACGCTTTACTTTTATGATTTTATCTATACATAGGTATCATAAAATTGTAACTAAGCCGAATCTGTACAATAAATATATTTTTTAGAAATTCTTATTGAAATAGACATTACCGTCGATACAGAGGCCGAATCTATAGTTTTTAGAATTTTAGTCTGTCTGTCTGTTGCCGCATCACGGAAAAACTACTGGACGGATTTTGACAAAATTTGGTATGATGATAGCTGGTTATCCGGGTCAACATATAGGATACTTTTTACTGCGAGAAAATATCTCATATTTGAGAAATCTATACTAAACGTTAAAACGTAAGTAGGGACGAACGCAAGCGGAGCGAGAGTGAGTCGCTAGTATTTTATATTTTTATAATATAACTTACAATTAGATGATGATGATCATTATTATGGGTGCACATAAAATACGAAATACGAACTGCCCTCGCTACACTGATTTCCTGCCAGACGCAACTAAACTAACTTTGGTCGGAAGTCTCTAGTGTGTTAAAAGTATAGAACAAAGTATCCACAAAGGCGAAAGTAATTAGAACTGTTACTGTTAAGTAAGTAGTTCTGTAAACTGGTGTCGTTAGTTCCATAAACAGCCACTATTGCATTGTACATATATTGGACTCGTTTTCCGTACTTAAACTCGCATTTGCTCAAAAGCGCAGAAGCTTCATGGAAACTTCACAGGCTTCGCGGAGCGACCTCATCGGTTCGAGGATTTCTAAAAAAAACACCCACTAGCTACTAAGTCTATTTAGCCAGAGTCCGAATCTATAGTTTTTAGAATGTTTGTCTGTCTGTTACCGCATCACGGAAAAACCACTGGAGGGATTTTGATGAAACTTGGTATGATGTTAGCTGGTTATCCGGGTCAACATATAAGATACTTTTTACCGCGGGAAAATATCTCATTTCTGAGAAAAAATATAAAGACTGCAATGTAAGAGTAGACTAATATATAAAACCTAAGAATTCTGTTTTTGGTCTTCTGAAATGTTAAATGTTAGTTTTCTATAAAATATAATAAGCATTATTAAATTGCTAAAAGTCTTTTGAAGTAACTCTATCTATAAATTGTAACTAACAAGCTCTATTGTTCCTTTTGCATTCTTCCACTAACAAAGTTGAATACACCCTATTATAATTTTTGCGATACGCTGAGAGCATTCACACAAGCTTCACTGAATTTCAAAAATGTAGTCCTTTTTACCAGCTCTATACAAACACTCTAGTGCCTCTCCGACCGCGGCTATAACGTACCTGCCGTACCGTTAATTATTTGTTTTCTTTTTTTGATAAAACATAGAAAATATTTTGGCAAAAAATACGGTAATAAAGAAAGACTTTTAATGAAGCTTTTAAATTGACTTAGCTCTATATTAAATAGTAATTAATGAATGTAATGTGTCCGCCACATGAATAAGGGTGGGTAAATGTTAAAAACATTTACAGACAGATAGATTTCAAAGAATATATTGTCTTCCAGGTAAATATGTTCTAATTGGTTGTGCATATGATGTAAAAATTAAAAATAAATGACATATCATTTAAAATCTAAAATATGAAACTGAAATCTAATGCGTTTTTAGAAACATGTTAACTCTCACGCAAAAACTACTGAACGGATTTTGATGAAATTTGAATGAACAGTACAATAACTTATGATGATGATGATGATGCTCTCCTGACCGATTCCGGCCACGGCGGCCAATCTCATTGAGAGTAGCCAACTGCGCAGGAGATATTATAGTCACAAGTGTACGCGCAGACACAACGTGCACTCTCTATTCCTGTCACTCTCATACTCTGGTGGGACGACCACTCGACACGACCAGTGAGAGTTAAGGCGCAGGACCGACGGCTTTACGTGCTCTCCGAGGCACGGGGGTGAAACACCGCCAACTTCCCAACTCCGGGCTGTTACTGAGGCTTACTATACAGAAAGACTCAATAACTAAACTGGGCCCGACCCGAGACTCGAACCCAGGACCTCCGGGTGTGCAGCTGTACATGCTAGCCACTACACCACCGAGGCAGTTGACAATAACTTATACATCAAAGTAATACATAATATTGAACTACGCGTGCGAAGACGCAGGAAAACGCTCGTTAAGTCATATACATACATCATAATGTAAAGTACTTCAGTAGAAACATTTATTCTTTCAAATTAAAATCATAGTGATCTAACTAAAAGTTATTTAATCTACTATTACTTAAAGCAAAATAATTTTCGTTGCTCTATTAGGTAGTCAATAGTTTTAAAACTGGGATTGTATGAAAAATGTACACACACAAATACATTTTCTTAAATTATTTAAAATTTTTAGTAGGCAATATGGTACACCTTGGATGAAAAATTTCAAAAAATTTAACATTTACCAACCACTTGTCGATGGCCATAATTTCTAGGAATATGTAATATAAATTTTACCAGACCGAAATTTTCACTCATTTTTGCTATATTTATAGAAACTTACAAAATCTCATGATTATATAGGAGTACCTGGGAGTTGGTCAAAAGTACAATTTTCTTGAAAAAAACTAAAAACTTGAATAAATACAAAAAAAAGTGAGTATCACACAAAACACATCGCCCATCGAAGTTGGCCACCTCCCACTGTGTACCTGAGCTTTGATGGATTGCCGGACGCTAATGAGCCCTTCCACCACGACAAGGTGAACACACATCGGGGAGGAACATTTGCATACCATAACCACTTATTAACCAGGTTCCGGTGTTTTTTTTATCGTGACGGAATTTAAAATAAGAAAAGGCTAAAAATAAACACGCAATTGATTAAGATGTTATGTGTGTACAATTAAACTAATAATACAAAAAATTCCAAAAAAAAAAGAAGTATAAAACCAAGGACTATCATGGTGATTAAATAAAATCATTTATATATTTAATATACTCATCATACTTGAACATGACAGTGGTAGCCCAGTGGTAACGCGCTCGCTTGGGAAACCGAATGAAGTGAGTTCAAATCCCGGGTCTTGCACCTCTGATATTTTCATGTGCGAATCATTTCCAACATGATTACCACTTGTCTTAACGGTGAAGGAAAACATCGTGAGGAAACCTGCATGTCTGAGAGAATCTATCAAGTTTTCAAAAGACATGTGAAGTCCGCCAACCCGCACTTGGCCAGCGTGGTGGACTATGGCCTGATTTCCCTCGTGCTGAAGGGAGGCCCGTGCCCAGCAGTGGGACGTTAAAAAGGGCTGAATACATCATATTTAACTCACTGTTGTAGCTTTCAATGAACTTAAATAAAAAATCCACGAGAAAGTTTAAATTAAAATATTTTGCTTCAGGTTTCCGAACGAAAAAAACAAAATCGTCGAGAATTTAACATGGAATTTAACAAAAATATTTTTTTACGAATTGTTGTTTTATTTACTCTTTAAAAAATGTATTCAGAATAGAATGTTTATTTTGCAAAGCTATATACCTTGTTTTATTAGAATTTAGACGTTAAAAATGAAATATGGAATAAAATATTTATTCGAAAGCGTATAAACGCCGTAAACAATCCGAGCTCAACCGGCAAAGTTACTGGTTAGCAAGCAAGCAAGTAATGAAATGTGTTGAATTTCGTAGCATTAACATATCGCAGTAGAGTACGTAAGAGCCGCTCGTCGAACCATCCGTCGAGCCGCTCGTCAAGCCGCTCGTCGAGCCACTCATCGAGCCGCTCGTCGAGCCGTTCGTTGAGCCCTGCGTCGAGCCTCACGTCGAGCCGTCCGCGTCTGTCGAGCCACTGGTCGAGCCTTCTGTCGAACCGACCGTCCATCCGTCCGTCGAGCCGTCCGTCGAGCCGTCCGTCGAGCCGTCCGTCGAGCCGTCTGTCGAGCCGTCCGTCGAGCCGTCCATCGTATTTAAAATATGTACCACTCATCCCTCACTCTTCATAGTCGAGCCTTCCCTCCGTCTCAAACGTAACTCGCTAGTTACTCGTAATTATAATAAATAAATACTTAGAGACGCACACGAGCGAAGCGATAGTAAATCGCTATTTCGATATATATTATAACCGACAATCAATAGTTCGTAACTTGGAAATGTTAATTTTGCATGAAGTGCGCGCTCAATATTAATTTTACGTAACATATAACATGTAAGAGTATTCTCGGCTATTAAACCGTCGCTTAAAAACCTTTATGGTAAAGTTTTACTGTGCTACTATAAGTTAATTAAAATACTTTTAAAATAACTAAATCCTTTTTTTTTTACTTGATCTTTCTAAAATAATTAAAAGATAGAAATTGTGTGACTAACGATGGCTTAACCTTATAATATACCGAAACAATGTACTATAAAATTGTACATAATAAAACATCTATACATATAATAAAATTGTAACCAAGCCGAATCTGTACATTAAATATTTGTTGGAAAATCTTGTTTAAATAGTCATTATTATCGATACCGCGGCCGAATCCATAGTTTTTAGAATTTTTGTCTGTCTGTCTGTCTTGATAAGGCATCACGAGAAAACCACTGGACAGATTTTGATGAAATTAGTATGATGATAGCTAGTTATTCGGGTCAACATATAGGATACTTTTCAGTACAAGAAAATATCTCATCTGACATTTCTGAGAAATCTATACTAAATGATGATGTTGATTCGCTAGTTAAAAATATTTTTAGGTTTTTTTTTCTTATCTAAATGACTCATAACGTAAATGTAATGTTTAATGCTTGGGAGCCCTTGTCTGATTTTTTAAATATTGTGGTGCACGATGAAACTAGTATAATATGGTAAATACTATTATGTACAACAAATATTAATATGTACAACCTACGATTTTTGGTTTTGAGTCATTTGAACGCGAGCGGAACCGGGGAGCAACCTTAGTGTACCTATTATAAAATTAATTGCTCCTCAACGCATGCAATGCAATTTATCTACTGATAAGCAGGAAGCAAAAATCAAAAGCTTGAGTGTTTATTGAAAATCTTTCTTCTCGTATATATTCTGTTACAGCAATATAACTAACGAAGTTCTTTTGAGTGAGTGATCGATCGACATCCGCGTATGTAATTACTTTTCGAACAGCGATAAGACCCAATATATCGTATAATGAGAATATACTCGTATGATACATAAGAATTCTCTATATACTGTATATTTCACTATAGAAATAAGATCTTTCTTCACCCATCTGACTACCAAATACGAAGTCTTTTGTATATTAAATATAATATAATGTTAATAAGCATAAATAAACGTTTTTATACATGATTTTTTTTAATTTTTATTATTTAATAGGTAGTATAGGTAATGAAATATGATCAAGGCTATATTTAATTTATAACTTAAAAAAATAAAGAAAACCTCAAGTCAAAAAGAATAAGAATGCAATAAGAAACCGACCCCTTAAAAAGTAAAAAAAAAATCAGTCAGTTGTTTACCTCATATTATCCTTTTTTACTATCCATACTTACTAATATTAAAAATGTTACAGTGTGTTTGTTTGTTTGTCCTTCTTTCACGTCAAAACGGAGTGACAGATTGACGTGAATTTTTGTGTCGAGTTAGTTGGAGGGCTGGAGACATAGGCTGTTTTTTACCGCGGAGATTCTCTAATTCCCACAGGAAAACACGTAATAATACAATCCAAAAAAATATTTATGATCAGATAATTTCAAGTAATCTTGAAACTTAGTATTAATGCTCTTCAATAAAATTAAATAAATATGTGTTTTAGCATTTTTCGAAATTCATCCTATAAGCGGGTAAAATAGGGGATGAAAGTTTGTAGGAAACTACCTTTTTAGAGTCAGTTTAGATTTATAGCGCGATCAAAGCCGCGGGCTCTGCTAGTAATCGAATAAATATAAGAAAATACATAAATATAAAACTTTATTATGGAGAATGAAAATATTTTAGATTTCTTTAAAAAAATGGTACCTATACTAAAAGGATTTTGGTGTTACCATAAACAAGTATGAATAATTTTTATTTTACCCTCGGCTCTGTTTTATCAAAATGTGAAAATTTAATTCAAACTTTTCTCTTAAAAAGCTAGAAAAATGCTTCGTTTGGTTAAATCCATACTAATATTATAAATGTGAAAGTGTGTTTGTTTGTTTGTTTTTCTTTCACGTCGAAACGGAGTACGGATTGACGTGATTTTTTGTGTGGAGATAGTTGGAGGGCTGGAGAGTGACAGTCTACTTTTTACCGCGAGAGATTATCTATCTCCCACAGAGAAACACGTTATAATACAATCCAAAAAATATTTATGATCAGAATTACTTGAAATTTGGTATTAATGCCCGTCAATAAAATTAAATAAATAGGTACGTGTTTTACCATTTTTCAAAATTCATCGTATAGGGGGGTTAAATAGGGCATGAAAGTTTGTATGAAACTACCTTCTTAGAGATTTTTTGCAGTTTTAGCGCGAGCGAAGCCGCGGGCTCTCCTAGTTTATGATAAAGTAAAAATATTTACCATTTACTTAAGTTGTTTTTTACGCGAAATGCTCTCAAGGCAGTTGCATACTTTATTAATACGAAAATACTACCTACGTCACAATACACACACACACGCACACGCACTCGCATACACACACACGTGAAATATAGGTCAGAGCTTTAAAAGACATGTGTACCTAACTGAGAGAACCTAGTAAGTTTTCGAAAGACATGTGAAGTCCGCCAACCCGCACTTGGCCAGCGTGATGGACTATGGCCTAAGCCCCCTCGTTTTGAAGGGAGGCCCGTGCCCATCAGTGGGACGTTAAAAAGGGCTAAATAGAATATCATGAAAGTGAAAGCTTTCGAAGATATTTGGATGTATGTTATTCAATCACGTGGAAGCCATTGAATAAATATGGATAAAAATTTGCACATAAATAAATTACATTGTACACTTAAGATAGGTTCTTTATTTTTCAGTATGTAGTGAATTTTGGGAAGATAACTTAAGTTTATTTATCGATAGATGGCGCTAGCGTGTCTAACGCTAAGTGTCCTAAAAGTCCTAAGCCACCTAAAAATTAGGGTCATGCGATAGATTTTCTCAGTATGATTCCCCAAGGTAATTGTCATTATAGTTTCGTAGCTAAAAGGCAAAAACGAAATCCTTATAATTTGTCCAAGTAGTAAAATATTTTGATCGTCCATATATTACTGTAATATTAAAACTGAGCTATAAGACGTTAGCAGGAATTAATTTTTAATCACTTTACTGAATATTTTCTGACAAATATCTCTGATAACAAAAGAATTTTACAAAAAAATAATTAAATCATGATTTCTAATATTTTTCATCAAAGAAAATCACATCTTTTGAAGTGTCATATTACTTTTAATATTTAACTATAATTATATTTTTCAAAAAAATACCTAATGCTTACAAACATATAATGTTCGAGTAGACACTCGAACATTATATATTTCTTCGAGAAAAAGAATATCATTTGTTCCCAAAAGACAAAAAATGGAAGAAAATGTGGGCTAAAGCAATAAGACGATTAAAATTGGTGAAATCACAATCTTTGTATTTTAGGCTATGTTGACACCATTTCACAGAAAGCGATTTTAAAACTGTCAAATTTCTACAGGTGTTTTATTTTTATTTTTTGTACTTTTTTATTGGAAATTTTACAGATACATACACATACATAATTTTATAGATATAATATAAACTACCATAATTGTTTAAATTGCAGGTTTTAATTTACAACGTCGAAAGTTAAAGGAGAGTACGGTGCTGTCTGTATTTCCTTGGTCCAAAGTTTTACCATCTTATGCAGCTGCTAGGGAAGAAAGACTACGAAATAGAAATCTGAAAAAGGAGCTTTTACTACAAAAAATTTCAAATTGTAGTAATAATGTTACTGAAGTTCCAGAGATTAACTATTTATTGTTTAGATCCTGAATTTGAAGATCACTATAACTTGAAGATTGTCGTTTATTTATGTCCAAATATTCACTACTGACACTGCACAATTTGCATTTTATAATTAAATTTTAAATAAAATGAAAAAAAATCTATCCACACCACAAAGCTTTACAATAAACTCAGAATCATAGTAAACGCGCGACCTCTGACGGGAGAAAATGGCAAAATTCTTACCCATGGATAGATACTCTTATTGCATCTGCCGAGGTTACAAATTGTAAGCAAATAATTTTAGAGTAGTAAATTATTTTCATCTTTATATATTGTACTTTTGCAAACGAGCAACACTAAAGTGAGGCTGTGACAAAATTAATGATACTTTCTACTTTCTCGTGACCAAAGAACTTGTAACTACAGTTCGAGCGTAGGAGACTGTAAGTTTAATAAACTAATTAATTTCGGATCACTATTCACTTATATTATTTGAACTCTACTACAATACATATTCCCTATACCTGTTCCCTGTACAATACATATACGTGTACTGTATGGATCAACTTCATATTTTTCCTAAGCAGTATATAGGTTTAACATAAAAAAAATGACAATCAAAGTTCTTTTCAAAAAGAAATATATGAGCTTTCAATCTGTATATTGAAAAGAAGAAGATCCTCTTGGCCCTTCAATCTTCCATATTAAGTTAATTAACTCACCATATATGTATTATTATATAGTACCTATATTCAAAGTCGCATTAGAATATTTAACGAGAAGTAAGAGAGAATCGATAAAAACTTCTTTAATTAAAAAATGTAAGCCGACTTCAAGGCATAGGTTAATAGGAAAATCTTTAACGGAGATCCTCATGTACTATTGCCAGTAGACGCAAGACAAAACATCTATTAAGATAGGTATTACTCGGAGAAAAATTCTAACGATTTGGGACGAAAAATCATAGTTAGCACGGTAATATCGATGGTAATTGTGCTATTAAGCTGCTACGTAAAATATACATTATAGTTACATGAATCACATTTACG